AGAGGAGAAACAATAATGTACAGTATGTGGAAAATAATGTGTTTTTTGAACCTTAAACCGCATAAACACATTTCATTACAACAAATACACAAAATAATGTTCTTTTTAGCAGCATCATATGACCCCTTTAACTCTGCTGCGAGATCTCTTCCACGTCAATCTTACCCTCCGGCCGTTCCTCACTTTAGGGCTGTTCTGACTCAAAGACTTGTAAGTACGTTTTTTATATTTAAAGAGTTTTTTTTTTTATATTTAAAGCGAGTTTTTTGGGTAGTGTAGAGTAGGGCTTGTTGTTTGTCATTTCTCCGATCACAAATGCAGACATGGTTTTATGTTTATAATCCATTATAAGTCATTATAATCCATAATTATGTCCCCACTGGATGCAACAAATGCCTCGTTTATAATGGATTTTAATGTTTTTGTCTCGTCGCTCCGGCCGGACAGGGCATCACAATATGGTAAGGGGCATAACATTTCCGTCACACGCTTGAGGTATTCGGCCAATCACAACGCACTGGAGAGCTGGCCAATCACAGCACACCTCGCTTTTTCAGACCGATGAGCTTTGTAAAAGTCGACGCGTTTCAGAAAGGCGGGGCATAGAGGAGAAACAATAATGTACAGTATGTGGAAAATAATGTGTTTTTTGAACCTTAAACCGCATAAACACATTTCATTACACAAAATAATGTTCTTTTTAGCAGCATCAATTGACCCCTTTAAAATTTGGAAACAATTCAGAAAACATTCTAGTTTTCAGATCTGAACCATGTATTCACAGACGAGGAATGGTACAAAGCCCTTTGCCGTGTACATACCTCCTCTATTTGTGCTCGCCATTCTCTTATACAGTTTAAGTTGTTGCATAGAGTGTATTGGGCAAAGGCCAAATTCTCTAAAATCAACTCTGGTTTTGAGCCAACATGTGATCGGTGTCGACAAGCTCCAGCTACTCTTTATCATAACTTTTGGCTTTGCCCAGCATTGACCTCTTTCTGGGCATCAATTTACAAGTCAATTTCTGAATGTTTTATTTTAGATATTGAACCATGCCCTCTTGCTAGCATTATTTGGACTCCACCCCTCAAATGTTTCCTTGTCACCCTCACAGTCAAATGCACTCACCTTCTGCTTGATAATTGCTAAAAGGCTTATATTACTGAACTGGAAAAATCCTTTGCCACCCAGCTACTTTCATTGGATGCACGACCTGATGCAGCTTATTCAAATAGAAAAAGATCAGATTTACAATAATTGGCAATACAGAAAAATGTCACACTACTTGACAACCCTTCTTGTCACATTTAAAAATATATATATTTAAGGAAGAGGTAAGAAAATAAGAAAACCCCTTTTTTATACCTGGGATTTACAATTTCTTTCCCTTGCCCCTGATTTATTAATAAATGGAGAGTACAGAGGAAAAAAAATATTGTTGGAAGTGTTTATGAACTTAGGTGCAAGTCATTCCCCAACTCCCCCCCCCCCCCCCGCCCCGCTGCATTTTATGTATATATTCGTATTTACTTATTTATTTTTATTGCTTTTTTTCTTTATTATTATTATTATTAATTTTTTTCTTATTTGTTTGTTTTTTGTATTGTTCTTGCTAACATTTATATATCTATTTTGTGTTTGACTCAGAGAGTAAAGAAGTTTTTGACTAATTTCATTTTGATCTCTGTTGTAGTACCGCTCTAGTAAAAACTACTTTACAGCTGCTGAGAAAAACAGTTCTCTGCTTTATGATGAAACAACTTTAGTTTACTCACCATCCTGAATTCTGCCAGCCAGAGCCTCTGAGCTGAACCCGGCAAACACCACAGTGTGTACGGCACCGATACGAGCACAGGCCATCATGGCTGCTACTGCCATAGGAGACACAGGCATGTAGATGGCCACCCGCTCTCCCCTCTGGACACCATAACTCTTTAAAGTGTTGGCAAGGCGACAGGTCATCTCCAGAAGCTCCCTGAGATTTGAATGTTTTACAGATATAAACATACAGCTGAGTAACAGGAAATTGTGCGGGTGGGAAAGTAAATCTGTGATAGTTTCATTTCAAGTGGTTCAAGTGCTGAATTGATGCGGACTTGCATGGAAACACTGAGGTCACATGGTCATAATGCACCAAACTGGCATTTATGGGGTGTAGTTTAATAGTGTATATATACTACAATAAAGTACTGACAAGCTTTTGTTGGCCTAATGAACATATTATTATGCCAGATTGAATCTGAGGAAACTGTTAATCAGGATCTAGGGTCATAGATGAGAAACAGACACGTGTCTGAGAACTCTACAGTACAGCCTGTATAGTAGAAACATCAGGCCTCAAGCATTTATTGATCTCCTCCATATGCTTGTGAGCTCAGGGACAAAACACTTTCACTTTCATACTAATGTGCATCAATGTTCTTTAACTTCCTGTTCGCACGTGGAAGCAGGAAAGTGACGTGTACATGTACACTGCTAATGTGTACATGTACACTGCTACACACATGACTGATTGTGCAATCTGACTGCTTTTTCACAAAACGCCCTCAAATGATTCCTATCTGACCTAGAACAAGAGATACTGGGAAACTAATCTTCACATTTCCGCAATAAAAGATGAGAAATAGTTCATTTTCAAGGTTCAGTGTGCAGGCTAGATCAGAGGAAACAGCCTGCTGACTGTTGTGTTTTGGTAACATTGAGGACAGTAGGTAAGTCCTGTAAATATTTAGCCTACTGTTAACAGCAGTTATTCAATCTTTATTTCAAGCACTACAGTAGAGAGCGGAGGGACGCACATTCCATCACAGGACCCTCAAAACCTGCCTTTGTTCTCCATAAGAAAGCGCATGTGAAGGAATTCCCCCCAAACTCTTCAGTAGTGTGCTCTCATTTTACATGTTAACCGTGTCAATCCCAGCAAGGCCAGGATTTCTAATCTATTACAATATTATAAAGAACAGTATGAAAACTGATATTCAATTTGAGATTACATTTCACAGTGTTATTAAATTATTGTTTTTAAAGGTGCTGTATGTAAGTTTTTGACTCTACTAAAGCATAAAAATACCATAATATGTTTGCAGATATTTAAGAAACATGCTAAGTTAACATACTTGTTTATCTGAAAAACAATGCTACAGTCAGTTATTCTCCTTTGAAAATGTGCGTTCCGGGCCAGAATGTCGGTCTCTGTTTTGGGTTGTGAAACCCGCCCACTGCCAGTTTACCCAATTGCATTTCGGGACCCTGGGTTGCCAGTTGGCGGAAATCACAGCGTATTTCATTTCATTCATCGTCAAGTGCGCTCGTTCCTGTTGGTGTCATCAATCTGGCAACCTGCATGTGCTTCAAGTCTGAGGAGGAGGGGCCGGGTGAAAAAAACCCTCTCCAATATTTTGAATTTGGACTGCAATACCTAGTTCAACCACTCGGTGTCAATCCTACATACAGCACCTTTAAAGATTAACTTTAGGTGAGCATTATGGCGCTTTTCCACTGCATGGTACGGCACGGTACGGCTCAG